TTGTATTTAATTATTTGCAAATACTTTTTTTAAACTAAAAGAACAAGAAATCGAACTCGTGCCCTACCAAATTTGAAACTCAGAGTCAACTAATTCAAAGCCGTGCTCGCATGTTCCTCTGAAGTTTTGTTAATTTGCTGTGAAAGTTTTATTAAAAAATTCACTTGCAGTGTTTATATTAGAACGAAATCATAAACCAGTTGTGAATAATTGAATTAATTAATTATATTATTATTTTTAATTGTTTTTAGAGGCATTATTTGTTGCATGATTTTTATTTTTTTATATTTTTTTATAAAAAAAATTAATAAAGATAGCAATAGCAACCATTTTATAATATATTGTTCTACAATTCTAAATTATAAAACCAAAGTGAGTGGTCTAGTTTATACACTTCCAGTGGCGGTGCTGGGTGTCAGCGACGTCCGGCATACAGGGGCCTCGCAAATAATTACTAACTGTCGATTCAAAGCATTTAATGAATATTTTGAACAATCTGGTTCGATTTACGACATTAATCATATGAAAATTATATCAAACGATGACCTTTTCAATCATTGTAAGGCTTTAGGTATACATCGGCCTATTAAAATGTATGAGAAAAATCGAACTCAGTCAATGATATAACTCGTCCAGTATATTATATCCAAATATTTATTAGTAACCAGAATCATGCTTACAGTTCCAGTCAATATAGCTTTTACCGAAAGAAACTTCTTAAAGTTAAAATTGATTAAGACCTACTTGAGAAGTATGATGAGCCAAGAGAGACTATCTGCGTTGGCAGTTCTATCAATTGAAGCGAAAATAAAAGTTGGCGCAAATTATGATATAATTTTAAAAATAATTCAGTATTCAGTAAAATAATACAGTAGGAAAATTAAATTATTTTAATTTGATTAGCAATAAAACTTTCATACATCCTTCGTCGTATTAATCAATGGTAATTATTTACTTTTATAACTCGGTAATGAATGGGGCCTCGTAATTCAGAATCGCCGACGTCCTGAATTAGTCTAGCTCCGCCACTGTACACTTCCCACACATAATAAAAAATAATTATTAAAATATTAATATTTGAATTATATTATTTTAGTGACGTTATCGTATATTCACTGTAATAATTAAATTTTCTTATGAAAAATTATATGACAAATTTATATATAAAAACGATTTATCTGAGTCCACCTCAGGAATTAAGTAGAATAGGAATTAAGCACAATGGCATCGTACGAAGCAGAAGCGTTAATGACGCGTTTTGAGGAGGCACAATTTTACTAATTTAAAAAATGATGTAATTTGCTATACAGTACGTTTGAAGAATACAAGAAAACACATCTAATTTGAAAAAAAAAAATAAATAAAATAAAATAAAATTTAATATTAATTTAAAACAAACGGAAGAACGTCAACGTTTTGGCCACGCGCCCAAAACGTACGGCCAGAATAAGTACGGCGAGAACGGTTGTGCCTGACGCTGCGTTAACACCAAAACACAATAAATTAACAACAAAAAGCGCGAATGTGACAAAATGTTGAACGGCAAAAAGCGTTAATCGCTTTTGAATTGAGACACTTTGCTTGTGGCAGACGCACGCCAAAATTAAATGTTTGCCAAAAAAAATAAAAAATTCAAACAAAAAGGAGAAACATAAATAAAAATTAGAGTACAAAGCAGAAAAACAAGGAAAATCTATGTTAAAATAAATTCTTAAGAAAAAAAATTGCTACTGCAACTCAAAAAAATTCACTACTGTACAGTACGGAAAGGTGAAATGACTAATGCAGAAACACAACAAAAACGAAAAAAAAAACACAAAAAACAACAGCTGCAGCGCAGTAACGTCCTAACACTTTCAATGTCGGCTGCAGGTTTAAAATTACTATTAACTAATTTTTTTTTTTAAATTGAATTTATCATAAAAATATTATTAAAGTTCAACAATTTCCTTATTTATGGATTTTTATATATATCAATGTGCATATTTTCATGGAAGTGTGGAAAATGCAAATGAAATAAATTTTCACAGCAAATTAAAAACATATTGTCATGCGTGCTATGTAAAAACCAAATGAAAAACAAAAACAAAAGAAAAACAAAAACAAAAGTGTTATTAACAGCAACAGTAAATAGGCAAG